TGTACATACAATTTGGTGGGAAGCTAGCTAGCTTTGTCAGTAACTGAATTGTTGGGCCGTTGAAGAAAGATAATATTTACATAAAATCACTAATGTCCGTTGAAAAATTAGTAATATTCTTGGAAAGATATTAACGTTTGATGAAAATTCACTGACGGTCGAAATTTATAACTGTTCCTGGTCAAATGTCGTATATTTTCCAGTTGATAAAGGTTAGAAAATCAGTTTATAGCTCACACGGTTATAACAGTTTCATAGTAGACTTGTCTCTTCTCTGTTTTAAGCCCGTCACTTTTTATAGGATTTTCTTAACAATACTGAACTATATTTAACCAGTTACAGAAATGGATATATCGTTGATTCTTGTGTTCACGAATATTCTACAATCTTTGAGAATTGGCAGGAGTTTTGCCATACATAACTAAAATGGTAAGCTAGACACGCCCTCAAATATAAACTTATTCGAAACAAAAGTTCCCATCAAAATCAATATATAACAAATTCGTTAGACACAACACATATCTGATACTACAAGTCACACATATTTTTAAATACAAATTCAATCAAACATCGTTCCTATTTAAAATAAATACATAATAATAAATTGGCTTTAGACAATTTTTAATTAAGTCATTATATATATACATTTGCAAGATTGCATTACATATAATACATTATTTAAAGGATTATACCACTTCAATAATAAAATCAATATAGAATACAACCTATACAAATCACTTTATCACAAAATTGTATAGTTCATGAAAGTACACTGGCACAAATGTTAGAAACCCTTATGATAATCTTCAAACCATATCCTTACAATAAATAAATTGCAATATAATAGCCTTATCTTTTATTTCTATTTTCTTTCTTTCTCCTTTTCAGTCTTTTTTCTCTCTCTGTCTTTCTTTCCTTGCCTCTTTCCGTCTTTTTCTTTCCCTCTTTCTGTTTTTCTTTTTTTTTCTTTCTTTCCATCTTTCTTCTCTCTTTCTTTGTATTTTCTCTCTCTGGTTAGACTTTCCGACCAACTGCAGGTATGAGAAGCTTTGCAAAATTAATAAATGCCTTGTCTAATTTTGGCCAAAAGAAATCTCATAATTTTGTCACCTATCTTGTTGACACCTAAATGATCTTCCATGGGAAGTTCATGGAAAACGTTCAATATTTCAGAAGGACATGCTTTGAAAACAACGATTTGATGAAGTCTTTAGACGCTGGCACATCTGGTGGTCTCCATTTCCTCACAAATACACCATTTTTCAATAAATAACCATTTGGCATTTTCTCCACTTCATCTTTTGGGAGTGCGTGTTTAAATAATGAAGTGATTTGCAAATCTTTTTCTTGTTCAATCAGTTTACTTTTAATAAATTGAATTTCACCAAGTGAATCAGATCCTTCACGTCCATCGTCGTCACTCACCGAGGTATTGTCAGTAGGATGATCATTCACAAAATCCCTATCAGATTCAAAAAATGTCTAACAAAAATCTATAATATCATCCTCTGAATCCACGCTTATTATTTGTTTTTGGCTTGACTTCTTAGCCTGAGCTCCAGTCACAGAACACGATGGAAACACATCGAAATAACTCCTCAAGTACCACATTATCCTCAGATGAAACAGTGATCGACTCATTAACCATTTTAGGTTCGGCAACAAAAATTGTCTGGGACAAATCTATCATATTGTCCTCTGACTCAATGTCTATCATTTGTTTTTGGCTTAATTTCTTAACCTGAGCTCAAGTCACAGAACACGAGGGAACCACATCAGGATTCTCCTCTACTACAACATCATCCTTAAATGAAACTGTGATTGGCTTATTAACCATAAAAGGTTCGACAACAACTTTTTCCCCAGCCAAATCGTTTCCCAAGAACAATGATACACCCTTAATTGGCAGAGTAGGTCTTACCCCAACCGGTCCCAAAACGAGGTCTGATGCTAAATAAATATTATGAAGAGGAACATTCACAAAGCCTCCCTCAATACCCTGAGCAATAACAAACTCACCAGTGGCAGAACTCGAATATAAAGGCAATACACCTTCTAACAACAATGATTGAGTCGCCCCAGTATCACTAGAATACGTATGGGATTGCCAGTGTCGTTTGTCAAAGACACAGAACAACAGATACAAAAGGTATAAATTCCTCCCTAAATATACTAGCCTTTATATCAGTGGCCACATCAACAACACTGGGTGATCTGGTGAAACTACTTCCATATGTGGACACAAACGCACTGGCTATTGCCTCCTTTACTTTCTTCTTTTTCAAACCCCAACAATCAGACATAATATGACCAGGTTTTTTACAGAAATGGTAGATGGGTCTTGATGGTTTTAACGAGGTTTCAGACCAACTGTACAAATATTTCGAACTAGAGAAGCTGAATTTTTTGGAAAAATCCTCAACTTCAGTGGATCGATCAAGTACAAGTGAAATGGT